GAAAGGTATTTTTTAGCAAGTTGTGCTAAGATTAGAAATCCGACTTTATTTGACTGCTACCATTTGATTGGATCTTCATCAAGTTCAATACTATCTAAAGCCAAATAATATATTACTTCATCCAATTCAATTAGTTTTAATGTTTGACGAGATGTAGTCTTTAATTGACTAAAAAAATCATTATCGTCATTATTATTATTATAGGTTGAATTGTTTGCTGATTCATCTGAACAATTATTTAAATTTAATAATTCAAAAGCCATTTTCATTTCGGTATAAGATTGCTTAAGTAATTTTTTGGCATGATCTAATTGATTTGGTGCTTATTAAAAAGTCTTAAACCGTGGATCAAGTATAGATATGACCAAAGCCAAATCTGAAAATATATCCCAAAGCTCGTCTAAAGATAAATAGATAGCTATACGAACTCTTAATAACAAACTATTAGAATCGACAAGAGGTAAATTTTCAATGCTATTAACAATATTAGTTTTTTTTTTATTTTTTTTGAAATATTTTCTTATACTCCAGTTTGTTTTTTACATTTTCTTCTTTTCATATATCGGTGAAATTGCCTATAAGCATATTGCCAATGTCGATAAACTCTACCATGAAGTATATTATTATCATTACTAATTGAACTTGAACTATTATTGGTACTATTATCATCAGATGTATTGCTATAGATTAAATCAAGATATGATCTTTTGTTTCTCCTTGATTTAGCCAAGGTGCAAAAGATTGTTTGAGTATTTCTATATATGGGTAGATCATGCTAAATATAGGATAATCTGTATCAGAAAGACGGCATGTAATTTTTTCAATAGGTGCCAATATATTGATTATATTAGAAAGAAATCTAATATATATTTATTGCTATTTTTGAAATAATTAAAAATAGCAAATAATCTTTTTAGTACGTATATATGTACATATATATGTATATATATTCTTATATACTGATATATACTTGATTACTTTAAATAAAGATCGATACCCAATTTTACTATTATATAATTGTTTCTAAATTAAAACTAATTAGGGGTGCCGATTTTTAATTAAAATTATTTGTTATTTTTAATTATTTCAAAAATAGCAATAATTTAATATATAGTATTAGTATAAAAATATCAAATAGTAAACTACAAAACAAATTTAAATATTAATACTTACTGCTTTTCATTTAAGAAAAAGCATAATTGTTCTAATTTTTCGTCTTCTTTTTGATGTATTGGATCAGAGCTTAAAAGCAAAGAAGTAGCAACATGAATTATAGCATTATGAAGTTTATAAATACATCTCCAGACATAAAATGTAAAATTTCAGCATATATTGATGTCATCCAAAATATCCAATAAACTTGGATTAATTTCAGTATTTGATAAAGACAAATTGAGTTTTTCTTGAGCTTGTCAAAGCCGCTTAGTTTGTTTTGAAAATCGAAAAAAAGCTTGCAAATTTTTCATACGATGATGAAAACTTTTACACTGCTTAAGCCCTTCTTGTATAGAAAGCTGTAATATATGAATAGCACAAGGCTGTCTAACAACTTGAGAAAAATTTTCTAAAAGAATATTTATTTTACGAACCATATTGGCACCATTGTCCGTTATATAGTAAAAATGAAAGTTTGTAGATTCTATTTTTGAATTATTTTGTGTAATTCATAACTAATCATTTCATCCGAATGTGAGTATAGTAAATGCCCATATTTAAAAAGAACTTCACAAAATTCAAAATCAGAAGTTAGCCAAGTTCCAGTTACTTCTAAATATCCATGCTTTGATTTAGATGTTCGAAGATCTGTAGTTAAATAGATTGTTTCTACACTTGAATCCAGCATAGTTTTCAACTGGCCTTTATTTAGATAATATGCTTGATGAATTATATCTTTTGCTGTTTTGA